AGTTACTAGGATTTCACTACGTACAGGATTCACATTGTTTTCACTCATCCTTATCTATTCCCCCTCCTGTGTTGGAGCTGGGTTGAACCTAGTATCGTAGAATTAAGGTCATTCAAAAACTTGGTACCCTCCCACTTTCTGTAAGCCTTTACAGCCAACAGATACGTTCATTTATTCGGTACTGGTCTGTGAGTTTTCATACACCTGCTCTGGATCAATGGAAGTGATTTATACCCCTACAATAGGGAGCAGTAAAACCATTAAGGTGATACAAAAGTACTGTGAGATACACCATTGACTCCTCGTAACAAGGTGTTTACGCATCCTCCCTTCCAGCACAAAACCCAAAAACAAGGAGCTTGGGCTCTACTTATAGATACATGGGGGAGTCATGCAAATTGTTCCTTTAAACTTCTCTTATAAGGCGGCAATGCTGTATCTCACTGTACTTTAGAGGTGGGCTTTTTGATTCATTTTGTACCACCCCAAAGTGACCTTAATACTGCTTTCCTGGACTCACAAATCCTACATCATAGAGCCAGTAAAGCCAATGCTGATGAAGGCTGAAGAAACATGAAACAGCTGTATGTATGTTGGTAATACTGGTTCTGTTCTTGATGCACAGGTGGCTAATGAAGTATTTTCCTCTTCCTAGACAAATCCTCTCTTTTCTACAGCTGGGTCTGGACCCAGGGTTTGGCTCTTAGTACTAGCAAAGGTTATGTTTCTGGCCTTTCTGTTTTGTTCCAGAGACGGTTGGCCTCTTACACCTTGACTAAGACCTTTGTACAGGAAGTCCATTGAGGGACACAGTTTCCATCGGAGGAGTTTTTCCCCGTGGGACAAATTCTCTTTTTATTACAGCTGGGTCTGGACCAGGGTTTGGCTTTCAGTGCTATCAAAGGTCAAGTTTCTGACCTTTCTATCTTGTTTCAGAGACAATTGGCCTCTCGCTTTTTGATTAGGACCTTTCTACAGGGAGTCCATTGAGGAACATTGTTTTCATCCGAAGAGTACTTCCATAGTATGAATCATCTCTTTCCTACAGCTGGGTCCAGACCAGGGTTTGGCTCTCAGCGCTACCAAAGGTTAAGTTTCTGATCTATCTTGTTCCAGAGACCGTTGGCCTCTCACTCCTTGATTGAGACCTTTGTACTGGGAGTCCATTGAGGAACATGGTTTTCATCCGAGAAGTATTTCTGTGGGACGAATCCTCTATTACCTACAGCTAGGTCTGGACCAAGGTTTGGCTCCCAGGTCAGGTTTTTGGCCTGTCTTGTTCCAGAGACTGTTAGCCTCTCCTTGAATAAAACCTTTGTACGGGGAGTCCATTGAGGGATACGGGTTCTACCTGTGGAGTATTTTGGTGGGACGAATCCTCTCTTTCCCACACCTGGGTCTGGACCAGGGTTTGGCTCCCAGTACTATCAAAGGTCAGGTGTTTGGCCTTTCTATCTTGTTCCACAGAGCGTTAGCCTTTCATTCCTTGAATAAAACCTTTCTACAGGGAGTCCATTGTGGGGTACGAGTTCAACCCGTGGAGTATTTCCGTGGGACTAATCCTCTCTTTCCTACAACTGGGTCTGGACCAGGGATTGGCTCCCAGCACTTGTTCCAGAGACTGTTGGCCTCTCACTCCTCGATTATGCCTTTGTACAAAGAGTCTAAGGGACACGGGTTCCACCTTTCTGTGTTTAGGATCATGCTCTCAGAACTGCTTTGCCACAAAAGGAAGGCATGTTGATGGTAGGAGGGGTTACATAGTTACATAGTATTTGAGGTTGAATAAAGACATTAGTCCATCAAGTCCAACCTATTAGGATCTCATTCTAGGAGTACCTGTACCCCTGTATATTACGGTCCCTTAAGAAATCGTCCAAAAGTTTCTTGAACAATTCCATAGTTCCCAGGGTTATCTTGGGCTGGCCTACAGCTTTTTATTGTTTGGGTTATCCCGGGGTGGTCTACGGTGTCCAATCCTCCTGGAGACATCCGTATAATCAGAAGGTGAAATAATTCTAGTGTCTCCCAATGGACTTCAAGAAAAGTCCAGTACAAAAATCACATTGGAAAGAGTGCAGAAAGGTTGGGGCCCTTCACTTTTGGCAGATATCCTCTCACCTGCTATGTGTCTATGACAGGAAGTTAGGGGAGATTACCCGGCAGAGACACAGGAAGGAAAAACAAAACCTTACAGGAATTGTAACCCTTCCCTACTCCAGCCAACCCTAAACATAACGCATAATGCTTCTACGATACACTAAAACCTCCGTCATTGAAGGGGCAGTTTCACCTCCTTCTACCCTCCTCGCAGCACTGTGTTTGAGGAACCACAGGTACTCTTTACCATTTCATGCACAGCATAAAAAATGCAAGACACTTCCGCAATAGATTTCCCTTTTGACATTTTATTAGTCTTATTCTTGTGTCTAGAAATAAGATGCTTCTTGTACTTCCTGACCGAATAAATAAAACTTCCCTTAAACCGATATTTCAATCTTCAGTGGATGCTGGTGAAGTTCATTCGCCCCTCCCCCAGCTCCTTAGGTCTCATGGAGACTCCGGTGGCAAGATCTCTTCTCCCAGGTTCCCAACTCCGCCCCCGACCCATCCGGCTCAGCAAGTTCTATCCACCCTGTTAGACATCCGTTGGATATTAAGGCGAAGGTGGCCAGAAGAGAAGGAGAACTTGGCCAGAAGAGACTGGGAACAGCAAGCAGAACCTGTCAGCTCGCACCCATAACTAAAAGATTTGTTTTTGGATGGATTGACCCTTTAAAAAAAAAAAAAAGCCAGCTTAAAATAGAGATGAGCAAAGCAATTTTTGCGGGTATTGGGCAGATCTAATGCAGTAAACCTAAAACGATATTCTCCGATCAACACAGAAAGTCCAAGTTTCACAAACCATGTAAACAATTGCACATGAATGAAATTCCCATGCTCCTCGGCTCCATCTAGAGGCAGTAATACGCTGTTCACGTCATTCACGCAGCTATACTCTGTGCGAACATGTTATAAATCAACCACTAAATGCCATTCAGTTAGAGTTTACATCTACTTCAAGTCATTTAATGCTCCTCACCCTTTCATCTTGCAAGGACAGGCTTCCAATGGGAATGTCATGATATAGGGCAAGCGAAGCTAAACTCCGGCCCTCCAGGAGTATAGCTGCCCCCGATAGTGGGATAGGACAGGTTAGGTAAGTGTTCTATGAGAGCGGTTAAGAAAATGGCAGTGTTGATCCTCTGTATTCTAGACCAAACTGTCAACCACTAGCAGCCTAGTCTAGTATAAGCTTGGTGCCAATGGCTGGGAGCCGATCATGAATATTATAGTGTCTGTACGCGGTTGTCTAGTGTACGTTGGTCATCTGGGTTTTGTAGTGTCCAATCTTGGACTGTCTATCAAGTGAGGTCAGTCCACCGAATAGTAGTATTTTAGCTATAGGTGGAGTCAGCCCGATTTCTTATATGTCCTGGATACTCCAACATCGAGATCACCCTTCCCATATTTCCAACTCTGCTGTTGTCCACCTGGGATATTTGGTGTTCCCCTCAACCTCTGTGTGTCACAGCACCTCCCGTTACATTCTCCATAATGGCGGGAGCCCTTTGTATTTGGAACAGGAGGTGTGAAGACATTATATATCTATTATAACACCAATTCCTGGTTTGTGTTGTTTAAATACTATAGTTCTAAACCAATCACAACCTCTAGAGCCCTGGTGCCCATCCATCATGAGGGCCACATGCAGACCACAGCAGTCAATAGCGGGGGCATTTATTTGTAAAGGAGCTGTAATGGGGGTGATCTATGGCAGTTTTCTGTTTAATGTCCCTGGTCTTAAACTCCTAGTCTCCTGCAGCATGTGTCGAGTTTCTAATCACACCTGGATGATATCCACAGCCTAACCATCGCTAGTAGATTGGCAGGCTCAGAAGGTCTTCTGTAGTATGTCCAAAGTCTCCGACGGTCTTTGGCAGCGCATCCAAAGACGGTCTTCGGCAGCGCGTCCAAAGACGGTCTTCGGCAGCGCGTCCAAAGACGGTCTTCGGCAGTGCCTCCAAAGACGGTCTTCGGCAGCGCGTCCAAAGACGGTCTGCGGCAGCGCGTCCAAAGACGGTCTGCGGCAGCGCGTCCAAAGACGGTCTTCGGCAGCGTTTCTAAAGACGCTCTTAGGCAGCGTTTCCAAAGACGCTCTTAGGCAGCGTCTCCAAAGATGGTCTTCGGCAGCGTGTCCAAAGACGGTCTTCGACAGTGTGTCCAAAGACGCTCTTCGACAGTGTGTCCAAAGCCTCCGACGGTCTTCAGCAGCTTCTCCACAGTCTACGATGGTCTTCGGCAGAAAGTCCAAAGTCTTAGATGGTCTTCGGCAGTGTGTCCAATGTCTCTGAAGGTCTTGTGTAGTATGTCTATTGTCTCTGACAGTCTTCTGTAGTATGCCTAAAGTATCTGCAAAGTCTTATGTAGTATGACTGATGTCTTTGACCACCTTCTGTAGTATCTCTAATGACCGTCTTCTGTAGCATTACATATACTTATGATTAAATCTGGCCCTTTTGGGCTGGCAGGGGCCACACTTGAGGCCCTCCATACCTAATAAGTAGAGCTTTAGTGTAATGTCAGGTTAGTGTTAGGAAAAGGCTTGGACTAAATTTAGAGTTAAGTGTACAAATTAGTTAGTTGGGTGGGGGGGTTTAGGGTTAGGTTGGGGTGATTAAAGTTAAGCATCTTTGGACACCATAGTTCACCATCACCTACGGGCTTTGAGTATCGACAGTCCAAGGGCATCCAGTCAACTTCTTACATCCCAATGGCTGTAGATGCTATTCAACAGTGAACTATGCAAATCTTGACTCAACTTCGAGTCACAATGTCCTGGTCAATTCTTCTTTGTTACCAGGTTTTTACAGAGCGTGAATCTGGTAACGTAAACAGTGTCTGGACGTTCCCTTACAAATAAAAATGTGGACACTCCCAGAAGTGAAATGCGTAGGACCTTCAGCCAAGTGCAAACTAATTTGCTCATCCCTAGTTTAAGAAGGTATCACTTAAAATACCAGACCCTCTCACATTTGTTCTCCCTCTGGTGGTCGAGAAGATACGCCCTCCGGCCGAAGCTCTTACCGCATTCGGGACAAGAATAAGGCTTGAGTCCCGTGTGAGTCCGCTGGTGGGCCACGAGATTGGACTTGTCTGTGAAGCTCTTTCCACATGTCGAACAGGAATAAGGCTTCTCCCCCGTGTGTATCCGTTTATGGGTGACCAGATGGGACTTCTGCGTAAACCGTTTCCCGCATATGGAACACGGGTAGGGCCTGTCGCTGTTGTGGATCCTCTCGTGCGTGATCAGGTTTGACTTGTGCGCAAAGGATTTCCCGCATTCCGAACAGGAAACGGACTCCGAGCCCTTCTGGGCTTTTTGACGCGCGTGAAGCTTCGCCCTCTGGCTGAAACACTCGTTCAGATCGAAACACGGAGTCATGATATCATTCCAGGAAACAGAAGGGTCAACAACTGGACGGGGGAAGTCAGGAAAGCAACCCCCGTGTGTAGAGGGGTCAGAAGACAGATCTGCACTGTTCAGTATCGGATGGAAGCTCGGGGTGATGGTGCTCTCATCGGTCGAATCGGTTGTGACCTCATCGTCTTCTATTTCCACATCTGGATAACTTGTAGGACATTTGTCCGAGTTGTTCCTGATGTATCGCCCATCTGAAGGAAATAGGAAATGGAGGAATGGTTTAAGATGTTCTCAAAATATATTCTCACGTGGATGACGTCTCCACGAAGAGAACCTGTCACCTCCAAATACTGTCACGTACGGTCTTGTAGGCACATGTATATAAATGGGGAGGGGGGTTCTAACAAAAAGCGGACCATGATTCGGCCCTCTGCTCTATGAAAATTTACTCACCAGACCTCCTTGAATTTTAATTCACTACCTCTGCTGTAAAGACTGAACAAGGAGATGAGAGTGAAGCCCCCTGTACTGTGATGGATGAGAGACCCCAGAGAGTGTGTGTGTGGGGGGAGACTGGTAACACACAATGACATGATGTGAGGAGGAGAGCCGTAGTCTAATAGAGGCTGATGGCTCCTGACTCCCCCCCACTAGACACATTCCGTCCCCCCCCCATTACTGTCTACTGACAGAGGAGGGGGAGAAGAAGAGATTGTTGTAGTGACTGAACAAGGAGAATCTGGGACTCTTTTCTGGATTTAGTGTTTATTCCTCACCTGTGCTGATCTCTGGATGGAATCCATCTTCTTTATCCTTCATGTGTCTTTTTACTTCATCTTTGAAATCCTTCTGAGGGTCTGTGAATAAAGAAGAGAGTGAAGTCCCCTGTACTGAGATGTATGAGAGACCCCAGAGAGTGTGTGTGGGGGGGACTGGTCACGTCTCTTGGCTGGTAACACACAATGACATGATGTGAGGAGGAGAGGCGGAGTCTATTAGAGGCTGATGGCTCCTGACTCCCCCCACTAGACACATTCCGTCCCCCCATTACTGTCTACTGACAGAGGAGGGGGGAGAAGAAGAGATTGTTGTAATGACTGAACAAGGAGAATCTGGGACTCTTTTCTGGATTTAGTGTTTATTCCTCACCTGTGCTGATCTCTGGAGGAACATCATCCTCCTTACACGCCTCGTCACCCCTCACATATGGCTCCTCTTCATCATCTGAATCTTCCACTTTAATAACAACCACGTCTTGTCGCTAGATAATACACAATTGAATAAAATGCTTTTTTAAGCTTTACATTTTTATCTTAAAACTGAACTTCAGATATGAAATATACAAAATCGATCCATCTCTGTATTAATATGTCATTATTTGTTTTGAGGAAGCAGTTCACCCCATTTTGGATTGGTATCAACTTTCTTATAGCCCCTGCACAGCAAAGCTCCAGCTGGGAGAGAGAGAAGCAGCACCGGGAGCCAATCAGCTGTACTGCTAGGTTCATGTGCCAACAAGGAACATGCTGGTAGCAGGAGAGAGCACACTGACAAGAGGGATGAGCTCATCAGCCTGCTGCTTCACCTCTCACTGTCCAGTCACAGGGTAGGTAAGAGATGAGACCTTTAAATGTTACTTAACTGCAGAAGAGAAAAATCATGTCCCCTGCCTTTGTGCTGCATGAGAGAGCTGTGTAAACCTCAGAACTGGATAGACAGAAATAAAATTCTCTGGCAGGTAAAACAGCTCCCATCCATCTATGTATTTAGCTGCTTGCCTGGAGCTCAGCTTTACATCACCCTCAGTCAGAGAATGCTTGTACTTGCCACAAAAAACTTACCGGTACCGAGTATTTGGGCGAGTACACAATACTAGAAGTTCTAGTATCGGAGGCGATACCGCCGATAATAGAACTTCTGGTCAGAAGGAGATCTCCCTCTGACCACATGTGCCGAGGGAGCATGGAGCCGGCTTCCCTTCCAATCGTGCACGTCATGACCCGCCTCCCGGCTTCCTGACCTTCAGGAAGCCGGGAGGTCAGGAAGCCAGGCTGCCTAGCAACAAGTGACACCGGCTTCAAAGACAATTAGGAAGCCGGGAGTCGGGTCATGACGTGCCGCCCGGCTTCCTGATTGGCTAGGAAGCCGTCTTCACTTGTTGCTAGGCAGCCTGACTTTCTGATCGCTCAGGAAGCCGGACGGCACCTCATGACTCGCCGCCTGGCTTCCTGATTGGGCAGAAAGCAAGGCTGCATCGGCAAATTAAGCCGGTGTTCTTTCGCTAGAACACCAGCTTCACAAGCAATCAGGAAGCCGGGCGACAGGTCATGATCCGCCACCTGACTTCCTGATAATCGGGGCAGGATCTGGAGAGCTACTTTATGGAGCAGTGATGCAGCAAGGTACCTTACAGATGGCTAATAAAAAAAGAAATGACCCAACAGAGCTGAAGAAAAGACCTCCGTCCTCCTAGGACGCAACCAAAAAACGGAGGCATGCTGGGAGTAGGAGGAGTTTTTCTGGTCTATATAATCCTCCTGTAGGCGGCAGTATGAAAAACGTCCAGTGTCACTCAATAGGCGGATAAAGAAATCACTTAGCAAACAATGTCTTTTGGTACTGGCCAAGTTTTGTCTTCACGTACTGGACAACGTTGTCTAATTCTGCGAGGTTTACACGTGGACTCCCGTGAATGAATGGGACTGGGACATCTCTCTGGTGTATTTCTGGTAAGAGGTCCATCTGTAGGAAAGACACATTGAATATAGTTTGGCTGAAAAAGGAGAATCTGGCACTCTTTTCTGGATTTAGTGTTTGTTGCTCACCTCTGCTGATCTCCGGAGGGATTTCCTTCTCCTTATAAGACTCCTCGCCTCTTACATATGGCCCTTCGTCGCTCATATTTTTAACTTTAATCCCAAACAAGTCTTCAGCCTAAATAAAACACCGGGCACATATTATCAATTCTACATTACAATACAAAATGTATAGTTTACCATCTGCTGTTTTATATACCTGAGAGTCCTGAGGGATCTCATCATGTTCCTTTGTAGAGTCCTGGGAATAGAGAGGACGGGCCTGAGGGATCTCATCAAGTTCCTTTGTGGAGTCCCGGGAATGCAGAGGACGGGCCTGAGGGATCTCATCATGTTCCTTTGTGGAGTCCCGGGAATACAGAGGACGAGCCTGAGGGATCTCATAATGTTCCTTTGTGGAGTCCCGGGAATGCAGAGGACGGGCCTGAGGGATCTCATCATGTTCCTTTGTGGAGTCCCGGGAATACAGAGGACGGGCCTGAGGGATCTCATGATGTTCCTTTGTGGAGTCCTGGGAATAGAGAGGACGGGCCTGAGTGATCTCATCAAGTTCCTTTATAGAGTCCCGGGAATACAGAGGATGGGCCTGAGGAATCTCATCATGTTCCTGAGGGATCTCGTCATGTTCCTGTGTGGAATCCCGGGAATACAGAGGACTTGGACATCTCTCTGGTGTATACCTGTTACTGGATCCATCTGTAGAAAACAAACACACTGACTGAATACATTGTTTCTTTAAATCAGAGGATGTGTGTTTGCAGCACAGCCTTTCTCAACCATGGTTCCTCTAGAGGTTTCTAGGTTCTCAACCATGGTTCCTCAAGGAGTTGCTAGGTTCTCAAACATGGTTCCTCCAGAGGATTCTAAGTTCTCAACCATGGTTCCTCCAGAGGATTCTAGGTGCTCCACCATGGTTCCTCCACAGGTTTCTAGGTTCTCAACCATGGTTCCTCCAGGAGGATTCTAGGTTCTCAACCATGGTTCCTCCAGAGGATTCTAGGTTCTCAACCATGGTTCCTCCATAAGATTCTAGGTTCTCAACCAGGGTTCCCCCAGGGGTTTCTAAGTTCTCAACCATGGTTCCTCCAGAGTTTTTTAGGTTCTCAACCATGGTTCCTCCAGAGGTTTCGAGGTTCACAACCATGGTTCCTCCAGAGGTTTCGAGGTTCTCAGCCATGGTTCCTCCAGAAGTTTCTAGGTTCTCAACCATGGTTCCTCCAGAGGTTTCTAGGTTCTCAACCATGCTTCCTCCAGAGGTTTTTAGGCTCTCAACCATGGTTCCTCTAGGAGGCCCTTAGACTGTGAGCATTGAAGAATGGGTGAATAGATCTCCTGTCAGAGGGTTCCTCCATGGTTCCAGCTCCAACATCAGAGCCAGCAGCATGGAGCCAGCGGAGCCTCTGCTCTCTGACACCAATTAATATATTACTATGATTTTACCATGAACAGTAGATATAATACTTTTTAGGAGAAAATCCCTGAGACAGAAACATTATTTCTCCAGTGCTACTGGAGAAATTTGTTTGACAAAGGCTGATGTATGTGGACATACAATACTTTTCTCTCCTTTACATAAAAAATGAAAGTCTCCTCTTACCCGGTGATGTGAGAGGTGGTTGGTTTTCCATCACGACATCCTTGTACATGTCCTTGTATTCTTCTAGACACCCTCTTTCTTCTTTTGATAAATAGACAGAGACATCCTGACACCTTATAGGAACCTGACACACACAATGATACAGTCACCATCCAGACACATCCCTTGTCTGTTCCTGGATCATGTCCCAGAATTCCCGGCACCGCTCACCTCTCCTGTCAGCAGCTCGATGATCTTGCTGGTCACCTCTTGAATTTTCTTATCGTTGTCACTCTCTGGTTGCAGGGCTTGGGATGGAGGCTCCAGAACAGGCTGCAAGGCCTTCCTCAACTTAGGTGTAACCAAGCCATCAGTCATCTTGAAAGCAATATAGTTCTATATTCAATCAAAAATACAGAGTTACTCCACCACCAAACGCAAACTTAACCCTTTCATTACATTAAAATACATGCCACAGAAACGTCCATCAACTCCCTGGTCAGGACTGATAAAGCGATGTCATGTGACCTCCCAGAATCCTCCTCACCTCTCCGGTCAGGTCTGTGTGTTATTAATAGAGAGAAGAGTGATGTCATGTGACCTCCCAGAATCCTCCTCACCTCTCCGGTCAGGTCTGTGTTTTATTAATAGAGATAAGAGTGATGTCATGTGACCACCCAGAATCCCCCAATAAGTACTATCCTTGTCGCACTCCTTACCGATATGTCCCTTGTAGTGGGGGGTGCTCGCAGTGACCGCGGATGGCGCCGCAAATGTCAGCAAAATTGTAGAAATGTCACCAGCACACCAATCCTTTTAAGATAGCAAAAGCTTCATTTATTGAAGTTTTTTGTCATATGACCAAACAAGCGCTTTCGGGACCGCGCAGGGTCGCTTCATCAGGCTTTAGCATCGCCAATGCTAAAGCCTGACAATTCTACAATTTCACCCAGAATCCCCCTCACCTCTCCGGTCAGGTCTGTGTTTTATACTAGAGAGAAGAGTAATGTCATGTGACCTCCCAGAATCCTCCTCACCTCTCCGGTCAGGTCTGTGTTTTATACTAGAGAGAAGAGTGATGTCATGTGACCTCCCAGAATCCTCCTCACCTCTCCGGTCAGCTCTGTGTTTTATGACTAGAGATAAGAGTGATGTCATGTGACCTCCCAGAATCCTCCTCACCTCTCCGGTCAGCAGGTAGATGATCTCCATGGTGAGGTTTAATATCGTCTCAGTCATGTGACCGCGTTCCTTCTCCATCTTTGCTGACGAGCCTCTTCTCCTTACAGACGGGACGGACTACGACACCTCACCTGCAACTATGAAAGAGTGACATAACGAATGTAAGAAAGCCATCAGCGAGCGTACAATATCTATTTATGGGGTGGGGGGTTGGAAGGTTCTGGAACGGCCTATGTTGGAGAAGAAGGGGGGAGGGTAATTAACTCCTATGGCGCTGCCTGGCCTGCGCCGTATAATTACAATACTAAAATCTGATCCATTGCCAATAGCAACCAATCACCCATCCAACCGCCCTTCCAATCTATACTGACTGCAAACCAATACTGTAAGGGGAAGCTATAAGATGTATTAATAACAACATATATTCATATATATCAGTAAGAGGAATATCGTGTTAATAGAAGAACTATAATGACGAATCTGGTTATAATTAATGTTAGGCATCCAGGCCAGGCTGGATAAACGTTCCTCCACAATGTAGAAACACACCAACACTAAGCAAGCTTATTGTCTCCTCTCTTCCATTATTATTGTCCGCAGAGCGGAAATAAAACCCTCACTTCCGGCCCCTGGCCGCTTCACTTCCGGGATTGTGCGTTCCACGGCAGAGCGAGACACTTCCTGGTTTCGCGATCAGAGGTGAGTGTGTGAGAGAGGCGGGGCTCCTGTCCGCTGTGCAGGAGGGCGGCGGCCATTTTCTTGTCGTCTTGCAGATTGGGCTGCTGCTCGCAGCTCACGTTATTTATGGAGACAGAATGACAATGAGAGCGAAAAGATTCTTTAATTCACTGATTATATCAGATGTCAGGCAAAAAAAGTAGCTAATGTATTACTGTGGCTGTGCTGGTATCTGGGTGGACATTTTGTTGTAGCCAAAATGGCTTCTTTCCTCACAATTTTAAAGAGCCCTTGTCGGCCGACCATTTATTTCAACAAAAAAGTCTTCCAATGAGACTATATTTGCATTTTAGATATTGTAGACATGTAAGTTACATGTGAAAAAAAAGCCTCCCTGGTGTAGACATCTGAAAGCCCTGCGGCGGGTACGGTGCCCCACCCATCTTGGGTGTGATGTCAGTAGCAAAACACGTTGGGGGGGATTGACTCAAACTGGAGCTAACAGAATGTAGAGCAGCTGTGCATAGTAGCCAATCGGCTTGTTCAGATCAGCTTTAACAATGAGAGCTAGAAGCTGACTGGTCGCCGAGCACAGCTGCTCCAGTCTTGGTTCAATTCCCCTCAAAGAGTGATCTACCTCCTCCATTAATAGAAGCTTCTCCCAACCCGCCTTATGAATATTCAGCACCCGTCAAAAACGCGTCAGAAGCCCTCATTGTGTATAACAATGGGATAATCAAATGCTTTCGAAGGTCAAACCTCCCCCTTCATCACGGATCAAACCCCCCAGTTACCTTTGGTGCTCTTATTATGCAACGGATCCAGCAGTGTCCTCTCAACGTCCTCCGGAGTGCTGTCCCATGCCGCCATTTTCCTTCTTTACGTCACGGTCGGCCCGATGCCTCTTCCTTATTGGTACAGCTTGCCCCTATGAATGAAAGGATAGGGATCGCGCTGTACTGACCTCTTCAGACGCGGCCAAGTGCCCATCTGCAATCGACATTCTTCAGACGAGGGCCCAGGCCATTGCCCATCTGCATGGCCAATTACTGGCAATCGCGATGTGTAGCCGACAGACAATTGTTACCACCTGGAGGCCACAAACGAGAGTTTGTGGTAATATGTGGGCAATGAATGGGTAGTAAGGGCAATAGGGAATAAGAGCAGCATTACATATAAACAGGAGGCCAGTCCACCTCCACATGTGATCCCGGCCCAATGGAAGCCACTAGACTTGAATGGAGGCCCCTATTCTTCTACGGACGCCACTTGTCTTCTATGGAGGCCACTAGTCTTCTACGGAGGCCACTAGTCTTCTACGGAGGCCACTAGTCTTCTACGGAAGCCACTAGTCTTCTATGGACGCCACTAGTCTTCTATGGAAGCCACTAGTCTTCTATGGACGCCATTAGTCTTCTATGGACGCCACTAGTCTTCTATGGACGCCACTAGTCTTCTATGGACGCCATTAGTCTTCTATGGAAGCCACTAGCCTTCTACGGACGCCATTAGTCTTCTACGGACGCCATTAGTCTTCTACTGACGCCATTAGTCTTCTACGGACGCCATTAGTCTTCTATGGACGCCACTAGTCTTCTATGGAAGTTATCAGTTTCTCCGCCATTGAGAGGACGTGTGCGGGTAGAGGGAAATGCTTTAGAAAAGACCCTGAACCCGCCCAGCCCTCCCGGCTTTCTCCTTCTCCACGGCTCCAGCCACAATGAACCCAGAATAGCGATGGCTGGAGGACATTCAGTATCTTCCAGCCTGATGTCCCCGACCCTGGTCAAGTTCTTTAAATCATGGAGGCTCAGAATCACACTTGGGCGTTACTGATGGTGGTCTGTATGCACAAGCATGCTGCCTAGGAGCGCCCACTCCTTTAGACTCCTGTCCACTCATTGCTTGCATCAGGGCTGAGGGCTCTTTGAAAGATAAATTGAGGCAGGGTGCTTTGAGGTTTTCAGGAAGCAATGTACAGAACCCTGCTGCCCCCTCCCATCAGCCATGAGCAGCCTGCCTTGCATAGAGAAGCACAGGCAATTGCTGATGTCACTGGATCTAAACTAAGGACCCAGTGCTGATGTAAACTAGGTCTAAATTAGGGACCCAGTACTCATGTAACTGGCCTAAAATAAGGACCCAGTGCTGATGTCACCAGGTCCAAACTAAGCACCCAGTGCTAATGTCACTAGGTCTAAACTAAGGAGCCAGTGCTGATGTCACTAGGTCTAAACTAAGAACCAAGTAATGATGTCACCAGGTCTAAACTAAGGAGCCAGTGCTGATGTCACTAGGTCTAAACTAAGGAGCCAGTGCTGATGTCACTAAGTCTAAACTAAGGACTCAGTACTCATGTCACTGGTCTAAACTAGGGACCCAGTACTCATGCCACTGGTCTAAGCTAAGGACCCAGTGCTGATGACCCTTGACCAATCACAGAACAGGAAACAATATGCTGAAATACAGTCAATGAGAAAACATGCAAGTTTTTTTGATTTTATTAAAAAGGAGAGTGAAAGGAAGAAGAACTTTCCTCCCGAATACAATTCCTGATTCTGCATTAGTTCCAATAAACATAATCTTAAAGGAGAAGTATAAAACGTAATCGATTCTTAAAGTGCCAGACCT